CTCTCGATCCCATTGATTCCGTCATGGCCATGCAGGCCCGCGGCAAGCAATATCGGTGCCCACAAGGCCGCCCACCAGCAAGGCTCCAATCCAGTCGAGCGCTTGCTGTCCTTTCAGCGTCATGACCCCCTGGCTGCCCTCATGTACTCCATCTTTGCCAACTCGTCGGGCCCGGACTCAGCCGAGGACCTTCGCCGGACCGAAGTATGGGCCACTACCTGCGCGAAGCTGATCAAGGACCTCAAGAGCAACGCCGCCTCCAATTTCATCCGCACCGTCCTCGATGTATATGCTGGCATGCGCGAATGGCCCGGCAAGTCCAATCTCGAGCTCTATCTCATGCGCGTCCTCCAGGATGGCCAGTTCCTTTTGGAAAAGGTAGACGAGTCCACGGCACGCACGAGCACCCAGCCGGTACAACGAAGCTCCAAGGACACCATTGCCGCTGATGAGTTTTTTGACAAGGCCGTGAAGCATCTTTTCGAGGTCATAGACGATGAGCCTAGCGCTGGCGGCATCCCCGAGGGTATCCTAGAAATCGGAAATGCCATACTCCGGAAATTGGAAGAAGAAAAGAATCTCCGCAAGGCTACCCAGAATTTCTTTGTCTCTCGTTGGCTATTTTCTACATTCCTGTTGAATGCCATCATACACCCTGAAGTACGTTTTTTTAAAGCTGAATATTTCCCCCCTTCCCCCTACAACACTCTTCTTTTTTTTTTGTGTCTGACATGTCACAGACACATGGCATCATGATTGGCCATCATATTAGCGAACTCGCCCGCCAGAGGATCCTCAAGGAGATAGCTATCCGAGCGCAAAAAATGGTCCTGGACATGACCTACAATTGGTACGACTTTCCATTTGGCTCACCTTCTTCCTACCACCGCGTAACTAATCTTGATTGTAGGCGGCAGCAAGTTCCAGTTCTCCCGGAGATACGTGTCCATATTGAGAACATCTTGGCCAGGTTCAAGCATACAAAAAGTCCGGCAAAACCCATTCTGCTTCCTGCAAAGGCCATTACCTCCCCCAGGGAGACCGTCGAGGTGCAACCTTTTATTGTCCTCTCCCCAGCTGATATCATCACCATGGTAAATGCCTTGTTTCCCGAGCGACGGCCAACGTCGAGCCATCTCGACAAGGAGCGTCAACCGAGGACGGGCCCCACATCCTCTGCTTCGTCACTTTCTGGTGTTTCTATTCCCTTTCGAAATGCCGCGGCCTCGACGGGTGATGCAAGCTCCATTTTGAGTGCCAGCGCTTCATCTGTGACGAGCGACCAGACTTCTCGCGAGCCTCTGTTGGACAGCAGTTCGTCGACGAACAACAACTGAGCACCAAGTAGAAGCGAAAATCGCCCCCAC